GCTGTTGCATTATGAACAGACATTTGGCATCCTGGGCTGGCTTGGGATTCACATTCAAGTGAGCCCCTATCCAGTCTCCTCGGATTTTCCCATGGAAAACTTTCCAGCAAATCCTCCTAGCATCCAAGTGTCATCCTACAGCGTGCAGGGAAGATAGTCCATGGTGACTCTGATTTCCACGAGGACCTGGGATTTGTGCTTGTGTTGACTAGAGGTGGCTACACAACGAGCAGAGGTGAAGAGAGGCAGAAAGTGTCACTTGGCAGCCCATGATAGGCCCAGATCAGGAAGGCCATGAAGAAGAATATAAACTTTAAACATAAAATCATGGAATCACAGCATATCCTGAGTTGGAAGGGACCCACAAGGATTATCCAAGTCCAGCTCTTGGTCCTGCATAGACCAGTCCCAACAATCCCACCATGTGCCTCAGGGTGTCATCCAAACACTCCTTGAGCTCTGTCAGCCTTGGGGCCATGACCAGGGCCCTGGGGAGCCTGTTCAGTGCCCAACTACCCCCTGGGGGAAGAACCTTTTTCCAAGATTCAACCTAAACCTGCCCTGACACAGCTCTGGCTGTTCCCTTGGATCCTGTCACTCATCACAGAGAGCAGAGATCAGAGCTGCCCCTCTGCTGCCCCTTGTGAGGAAGCTACAGACCCCGGTGAGGTCTGACCTCAGTCTCCTCCAGCTGAACAAGCCAAGTGACCTCAGCTGCTCCCTCCAGACCCTTCCCCATCCTCATGTCCCTCCTTTGGATGCTCTCTAACAGCTTTAGATCTTTTTGATGTTATGCTGCCCAAAACTGCCCCCAGAACCTGAGGTGAGGCCACAGAGAGCAGAGCAGGACAATCCCCTCCCTGATGCCCCCAGGACAGGGTTGGCTCTCCTGGCTTCCAGGGCACTGCTGACTCATGTCCAACTGGCCATTGACCAGGACCCTCAGGGCCCTTTCCTGGCACAGCTGTCCTGCCTCTCATTCCCAGTCTGTCCATACATCCGGGGTTGTCCCATCCCAGGGGCATAATCCAGCACTTCCCCTTGTTGAACTTCATATGGTTGGTGATTGCCCACCTCTCTAATTTATCAGGGTCTCTCTGCAGGGCCTCTCTGCCCTTGAGGGAGTCGGCAGCTCCTCCCAGTTTAGTGTGGGCAAACTTACTCAGTATCCCCTCCAGTCCCCCCTCCAAGTCATTTATGAAGATGTTGAAGAGCACGGGGCCTACGATGGAGCCCTGTGGAACCCCACCAGTGACAGGTCACCAGCCTGATGTCACTGTCACCCTTTGTGCCCAACCCACGAGCCAGTTGCTCACCCACCACATGATGTGTTTATCCAGCTGTGGGCTGGACAGTTTGTCCAGAAAGATCCTGTGAGAGCCAGTATCCAAAGCTTTGCTGAAGTCCAAAAAGATCACAACAACTGGCTTCCTATATCAGACACAATAAAGCTGTGCATAATCAGATCTCTGCCTGCAAATAAAACAACAGGCAGTATAAGACTGGTCAGATGATCCACCTCTTCAGTTTCCTATTGCATTTCTCACCCTTATCCTATTTCATCTGCTCCATATCATCTCTTCATTCATCCTCTCCAACAGCTCCTACTTGCTGGGATTCTTCTGCAGAAATCTTGCCTCAGTGTTTCCTCTTTCATATTTCTTCCTTCAGGGTCCTCTTTTGAGGCTGTGAATAGTCTCCTTAGCATGAACACCACTACAAAAGATGAGAGCATCCTCCAGCTATAGTCTCTGGAGGAGGCCTGTTGATGTCCATGTATGTGTTAGGACATGGATTCACCTCTGCTTGCACCTATGAGTCTCCTGCTTAGGACATCAGGACTGCTTTGGAGACAGCACGAGACAGCAAAGGGGATAATCCCCCATGGTTACCTTTTGTAAATAAAGGACGGTCCCTTTAAGCACAGCATAAAATTTCTTCCAACCTCTTCTTCCTCTGGGAGCTAAAAAAAGGAAGAATGTTTAATTGTACATGTCTGCTCCTGCTGGTGCTGCTTGACCTTCCTGGCAAACCCAACTCTTCTCCCGACCCACCACAGGCACACAGTGGTGCCCAGACCTCATACACCTCCAAGCTTTTGCTCATGAGTGGCTTGTCTGCAGGGACATGTGTTTGAGAGACAGTAGCTGGGCTCTGCAGCCTCCCAGCAGGAACAAAGCAGGTCAGCACCAGGGATGAGCTGGTCCAGGGGCACCACTGGACACCTGCAGGAAGTCTCTGCTCCTCTAAGCCCAGGTTCATGTTCCTTGGACTAAATGCTCGTGGAGCAGAGACATTCCCTGAGACTCCCCTGCTTCTGGTGAGTTGGGCAGCTGCGCCCTGGGTAAGGAGCTTCTCTCTGAGGAGGGAGCACTGCCACCAGCCAGCTTGATGGACTTGGGGACAGAGAGCTTTCTGGAAGCTGGAGAGGGATGGAAGGTGTGGGGAGCCACCCACATCACCACAAGACAGTTGATCCTCCAAGTACAGGATATTAAGAAAGTGCTGGAAGCAAGGGAGGCCTTTGGTGGTAATCTCTTCTAAAGACTTTAAATTGGCTGCAGTGACTGGGCCAATCATGTCAATTAGCAAAAGGGATTATCCAAGGTTTAATTAATCTCTGCTCATTAACAGTTCCCAAATATCTTTTCCTTTACCTTTCCTATAATCCCACATGCTGATAGCAGAGCTGTGGGGTGTTCTGTCCCCCAGCCAGCACATGGCAGGATATGGACAGGGGCAAAGCCTGGCAGACCAGACTGTTCCCAAGGCCAGGGCTGGGGAGGACATCCTGCCCCCATTGCTCAGAGAGTGGGATTGGGAATGGGTCCATGAACAGGATGGAAGCCCAGGTCTGTCTGTGTGGGGCAGGCACTGTTAGATTCCTTGGCAGTGAGAAAGGAAGATTGAGGCCTCCTGAAAACATTAATGTCTACAAATACCTCAAAACACCCTCCTTTCCCTGCATCCTGGCACTTCAGGGGATGTCTCTTGTGTTCCCTGGGATGCAGCGAGGACATGCCAGGGAGAAGGGTAGGGAAAAGCTCTGGGACTGCCTGGGGCACCTCTCCCTGTCCCATTAACACATACTTCTCTTCCCATCCATGTCTGCGTGGGTTTTGCGGGTGAGGACCCCGTGCTTGTAGGTGACGGCGTTCAGTGCCTGGGGGATGTCCAGGAAGGGGTTGCTGCTGTCAACAATCCTCGTCACTTTTTTCGCACTGGCTCCGAATTTGTCATCTACCAGCTCCGAGAGGGATTTCCTCAACTCGTCCTCATCGCTTGGAAACAAAATCGGAGAAGAGACTGAGTGGAGAACACGTGGGGTGGGTCACAGAGTGCCCTGTCTGCCTTGGGTTTAGGGTTTATATTACAGGTCAGGGAAAGAAAAAGAAAGGAGATACAGGGACAAGGCACACAGAGAGTGCCAGTGGTGGTGGTCTGAGCTGGGTGGCAGGTAACTGTCCCAGAGGTCCCACTGTGAGGTTACTCAACATGGGTGAGAGGATGGGGGCTTGTCTGAACACCAGGAAACTGCAGGCACCCCATGCTGAGGACTACAGGCATTTCACAGGGAGATCCTCTGATTCTGTGCCCTAAAACCAGAGCTTAAGGAGAGCTTTTGCTGAAATCCAGGTGTTACCATCATTTCTCAACTGCTGAGAGGCAGCGCCTGCAGCCTCCTAAATACTGAAGGACCTTTAGGAATGTCCTCTGCATCTCTGAGGAACAAAAGCTCTGCAGACATTAGGGAGGTGGGCCACTTGACCAAAAAAAGACAAACCCTGGAAGAGGTTATACATCAGCTTGTGTCCTCAGGGTGAGCTGGCAAAGAGCAAGAAACGCTGGTCATTTCCATAAAAACTGCTTCTGTTAAACAGATCTTCTGGTCCTGGACCTTGAACAGCAAGAGCTGAGCATCTTAGCAAAGTGTTACTGACTCCACCAAGCCTGTCTCTTCCTGTCTGGAGTAAAACCTACTCTGGCACATAGAAACTAGAACTTGTATGGGAAGTGATAGTTCCCAGTGTCCCTGGGACATGAAGGAGGAAGAGCAAACAGGGAGTTTCTGCCCTGTGTGATAAATGTCAATGTCTAAATGCCCTGAGTGGTCACATTAGGCTGCAGATCAGACTGGGACCAAACCTCAGCTGAGGAGTGACCCAGAGGTGAATCCACTGGCTGGGATGTGAGCAGTAAAACACCACACTGCCCCCCTGCACAAGCAGATGGCAAAAGCATCAGACACTTCGTGGAAGAGAAGGATGATTTCTCAGCCCTCAGTGCCCACAGGAGTCCTGGGGCTTTGGCAGAGCCCAGACCCTACAGCTGGGTGGGGGTTAGTGGGGCTCAGTTCTTTGGGCTGCACCAGAGGGACCCCTCAGAGTCCTCCGTGCTGCTGGGCTGATGGTCACACACCTGCCTGTCTGCTGGGATTTGTGGTCAAGGGCATTTCCTTCCCGGGATGATCAAGGACAGAAGGCAGAGGGAAGCAGGGAGGAGAGGGTCCTGCCTGTGCAAGGCTGTGCCTCAGTGCTGGGTGTCTGAGAGAACTCTCGTGCCAGGGACTCTCTGACCCAGGCACCTCATGCCAGGGAGTTTCTGCCCCAGATATCCCATATCGGGCAGCATCTCTCAGCACTTGAGGAGCTGAGGGGGTCTCTTGATCCCAGGCCGGTGTGGGGTGAGTGAGGGGCTGCAGGGATACCATGGAGTGGGCAGAGAATGGAAGGAGGGGGCTGGATGCTGCAGCGGGACCCGGGCGGGGGGTGACATCCCTGGGATGTGCCCGAGCAGGGAGCTGTGCTGGCGGGCGTTGTGTAACCAGAGCCCGCATCCAGCGGCAGATGGATGCACTCCTGCTGAACTCCCCTTACATAAACCATCCCGCCGGCTGCGGCTGCGGAGCTCGGAGCTCCCTCTCGCGACGGAGCCCACGCGCAGGTGACGGGAAGGATGGGCTTTAAAGGGAAACCGATGGTACCTGACCGCTAAGAAGCTCCTGCCTTCCCAGGGCTGGCTGTGGAAGGAGGCACCAGCCGCTGCCATCGGGCACGGCAGGCGATGGGGGCTCCTGCTCTGCAAAGCTTGACCCAGGTAGGTGGGGAGGGAGGGAGGATCAAACCAGCTCCAGATGCTTTTCTGCTGAGGATAATATGAGGAAGAGAGCAGGTGATGGGGCTAAAGGCCCAGAAGGTCCTGTTCAGTCCCGTGACAAGAGAGGTCTGAGATTAATGAGGACAGGAAAAGAAAGGAGAGGAAAAGAAAGGGAGATGGAGGGGATGGGAGGAAAGGGAAAGGGAAAGGGAAAGGGAAAGAGGGAAAGGGAAAGGGAAAGGGAAAGGGAAAGGGAAAGGGAGAGGAAAAAGAAAAGAGGGAGAGGGAAAGAGAAAAAGGGAAAGAGAAAAGGGGAAAGGGAATGTCCACAGTGTTAGCTTAGGATCCCAGGTCTGTTAAGGGCTTCCCATCAGCAGCAATGAGGAGACACTGGGGCTGGGGGGCCTCACTGAGGGTCCTGACTTGTGCTCTGGGCAGGAGTGGGTGGCAGAGCAGGGGAACAAGGGCTGAGGAAGGTGCTGTGTGAACCTGTGATGGGGGGCACCATGCCAGCTGTTTCCAGGCTTGTTTGATCTGGAGGAGAAGACAAAGTGCATCTTACTGAGCTTGTGGATGACATAAACAAGAGAGGTACAGGGCCACTGCTGAGAGGGCCAGGAGCACCCCAGGGCTTCACTGGGGCTCCGGGTGAACAGCAGGGTGAGCAGGAGGCAGCCGGTGTGTCCTGGCAGAAACAGAGGCCAAGAGTACCCTGGGCTGTGTAACAGCGGCACAGTGAGGAGGCGAAGAGAAGTGATCCCCTGCTCTGCACTCATTGCATCATATCGTGATACAGCAAACAGTGCTGGGCCCCCAGCACAGCAAAGAGCATCAACGGGGTGGAGAGTCCAGCTGAGGCCACCAAGGAACCCGAGGGCTGTGTAAGAGGTGACTGAGGGAACTGGTCTTGCTCAGCCTGGAGAAGAGGTGGATTTGGGGGACCTCCAGGCAGCCTTCCCTGTGTGAGGGAAAAGGCCACCGTGGTGCATGGCAGAAGGACAAGAGTCAGTGGGCATAAGGCAAAACAAAAGAGACAAGAAAACAGTGCCGCTCTCAGAATAATTAAGTATTGGTTTGTTGATCCAGAGGGGTCGGGGGTTCTCTGTCCTTGGAGGTTTTCAGGATCAAACTGAACAAAGCCCGAGTGTCCTGGTCTGAATTCAGTGCTGACCATACTTTAAGGAGGGAGCTGGAGATATCACAAGGTCCCTTCCCTCCTGACTGATTCTCTGATTCTATTTCCAGAAAAAAAACCAAACCTATGTGGAAGAGGTGGAAAGTCTCAGTGACCAAGGTAACCACGGATCTTTCCTTGTGCAGAGACTCCTGAAGCACCTGGAGAGGGACCAGCATTTTACACGTGTAACAGTAAACAAAGAGGGCATTCCCTTCCTTTAGATCATGGATCCACAGACTGTCACCAACATCCCAAACTTCTTTTGTGTCTAAGCCATAAATAAACTCCATTTGCCTACAGAGGGCACTTCAGTGCTTAAGGGCTTGGCAGGAAATATTCTGGGACTGAAAACATGACTTAAGACCTGCCAGACATTTGGAAGGACACACTAGCTCTCAAATGCTTAGCACATACTTACATGGCCCACTCCAGTTTCTCATTCTTGATGGAGTTATACAGTGTCTGAAACAAGAACATGGAATTAGCTGTGTCTCTCATGGAAGTCATGTCTGGCTGTCAGATCATCTCCTCCTCCACATTCTGCCTGTGTTCCTGGAGAGATCCATTCCCTGCTGAACTGTCCCGGAGAGGCATTCACCAATGACCAGGACAACTGCTGTCCTGCCAGAGCCCTTTTTATCTGTGTGCCACGCTGGGTATTGGACTGGGCACGTCAGCAGCAGGGGGGTCTGGCAGCCAACCTTGCTCAGGAGCCTGTATATGACATTTTTGACTCATTCTGGGTGTTGCACCTAGTCCTGAATGAATCCTGGCCTACACAAGATGCTAGAAGACTCAGGGATGTGCCACCACACCTTTGATGTCTTCACTAGGGGAAAGGAAAGGGGAGGCTTGAACTGAGTAGCAGGGGAGATATGAGTGACCTTGGGATCAGCTTTTCCAGTTCCTCCTGTGCAGAATTCCAGTGGTTTCCCTGGGGCACTGGAAAAGAAGCAGGAATGGGCTAGGAAAGCAGAATGTGGAGGTGGCCCTGACCACATGGAGGGGTGGGATAGGGTGAAAATACTCACTTTGGGTTGTTTAAGCAATATCCCATGGTACTGCACTAGCTGTGTTGGAACACTGCATCTAATTACATGGAAGTGAAGTATCAGTGCTGGATGGTCATATTTGGGGGCGGGGGGTACCTTGTTCTGTGTGCATCACAGAGCTGCTGGGGGGAAAAGGGCCCCTGGTATGCTCTGAGGGCAGATATGCCCCAAATCTGGACAAAACACCACCAGGGAACAGACCTCTTAGCAGAGACATCCATGGGGGTTATAATTCTTCTCTGAAACAACTGCGCACTGAAAAACGCTGATTGAAGGGCTCAGGGTGCCCCAGCAGGACTAGGTGGCACTGCAATAATAATGACAGTATCCCACTGCCTATTTATATCACGTTACCTTCAGCAAATCCTTCGCGAAGTCCTTCCCATCATTCAGCCCGTCCAGGTTCGCGATGAACTGCTGGCACGACATCTTTTTGCCAATGTTCTGTAAGGCAAAGAAGCAGCTCGTTAATCTTGTGGGGAGTTTTGACTTTAATCAGTGCCTTTCAAAGAACAATTTTACATGTGGTGCTGAAAGCCTGGGTTTGTCCCAAGAGCTCGAAGCTGAAAGGGCTTCTAATCTGATTTGCCATTGGAGCTCTTTGCTTTATTTGCTCATGCCAGCAGCCAAATGTTTCAGATGACCTCTTTTTTAATGGTGGGGATAAGACACCTGAAAATAGCCTCTCCAGCTCTTGATCCAAGCTTCCTAAGTGATCCAGGTTGGTCCTGGCACAAGGGCTGTGTCTCAAAACTCAAAGCAAGCACTCTGTTGAAATGGCAACGCTTGGATGGGGCTCCAAGGCTGCTGTGTGTGAAATTGTGTGAGCATGCAGTGCCAGCACCTGAGACAGCCAGCACTGGGCAAGGGAAGGCTGGTCCTTCATGGAAAATGTTATTTTCAATTGCTGTTACAAAAAGAGATGGTCCAGATGGTACTGAATGAACTTGAGTGCAGTGGTGTGAGAGGGCAACGCGCATACGCTGGGAGAATCTCACAACCTGGAACACACTCACCACCAGCTAATGCCAAGGATATTTGGTGCTGAAGCTTCCAGGCCATCTGGCATCCCTGATATCATGGCTTCATCACCTGTGGCATCTGCCTTCCCAAAAACCCTTTACCCTTCACCATAGCCAGGTGAGCCCCTTCCTCAGCCTGCTGGGGTTGAGGCAGGCAGCCCTTTTCCCAAGCCTCCCTCTGCAACCCCACCTCTCAAAGGGCTGAGGTGTGGAGGAGTCAGTGGGAATTGCAGGCTTTGGAAACAGGAGTCTGATGACACAAAGGAAAGGTGGGTGTCTGCAGTGCCATGTCATGTCACAGCCTGCAGTGTGTGAAGGACAGACCCCGGGTGACACTGCCTGGAGTGGACAACGGAGTTAGTGAGGAGAGCGTGAGTTCACACCAGTGGTCCTAAGGATCCCAACAGCATCCTCACACCGGGTGTGCTTCACATCCAGGTATGGACAGCATGGCCATCCAGGAGGACCTGGGAAGATGGCCAAGAACAGCAATCAGAGTCCTGCTTAGGGGCTCAGTGAGGGAGAGGAAGGGCCTCACTGGGTCACTGGCAGGGGATGAAGCTGCAGCAGATGATACAGGGCAAGATGTGTCCTCTGTGGGGTGTCTTCTTACACAGCAGGTCACCTGCTGGATGCAGCAAGGTCATCACATAGGGACAGAATGCTCAGGGGAATGTGTCTGCACACCTCAAAACTCAGGGCTCAGATGTTCTACACCTCTTGCTGAATTGGGACCTTTGGGTAGGAAGAGCTTCATTCCTGTCCAGCTGCACTGGTAGGGGCATTTTGCTTTTCTCTGTTTGTCTTGAAAGAGACTGACACCAGAAACCTGCCCACAAACATGCACTGCAGATGACCTGGAGGCTTCTCCCCAAATGAAAACATCAGGAAAGAGTGAGGCCTTGGGATTAGCTCCCCATGGCCCCCCTCCACCTGTCATCTGTGTGTGCAAACACTCTTGGGCTACACGGGGAGCCAAGTGCTGCCTTTGAGCAGCTCTGTCTGATTCTCTTAATTATGCCTCCTGCTGGTGCCAGCTCCAGATGAGCTGGCACCCTTGAGAGATCAAGAAAAAGAAGAATAAAGCACTGTTACAAATCTGCAGTGCCTGGGGACGTGGTTGGCACAACACAGCTCAGCCATCACGGGGAGCCCCACGGCCCCCATCAGCCAGAGGCTGCTGCCAGCTAGGGCTCAGAGGGCACATGGGCTGCAGGAGAGCTCAGGAAACCTTGCAGACATGCTGGGATTTCAGCAGAGGGAAGAAAGATTTGTGTGCTCATTGGCCAGTGAATCTCAGACACAAAAAAGAAAGGAGAAATCCAGCGTTGTGGATGGAGAGAGGAAGGAGGGTGAAAGAGAACCTTAAAAAACGCAGCGAGGAACCTCCATGAGGAGGGAAGTTTGGGGGTGAGGCAGATGTGTTGCCTGAGACCTTGAGGCACCAAATTTACACAGAGAGGTGACTACTCCCACCCCTGCCCTGAGGCAGGAAAGCAGAGTGCACAGCACTGGTCTTTCTGCCCAAAGAGATCTTGCTGTAGTGATACAGTACTGAATGCAGAGGCCAACACATTTTTGGAAATGAGTGGATACAGTGAGATAACACAAGTTACCAGCCTCACAGGCCCTTTTTTGGGTTTCTCATGTACGTGTCTGGGACATACTTTCATCCCAAGGGATGGCTTCCTTTTTATTCTGTGATTTGTCTCTTTCTGTGGTGCAAGACCGTCTCTGAGCTCACCTGAGACAGCAGCCACACTGTGGAAATGCAGCTAATTGAAAATATGCCCTTTCCCTGACAACCAGAACAGGTGATGAGAAAGGTCCATCAAAGATGGGAATACTGGGAATCACCTTGTTGGGCAAGGTGGCTGAAGCACTGCAGGGCCAGGGGCAGGACTGAGGGTGGCTGTCAGCACGGGATGCTGGGGTGGCCCTGATGCAATAAAACCTCATGTCAGTAATATTTAAATGCTTCTCAACACTTGCTGCTTTGGGAAGTGGGCTGGAGCCAGCCACTCAAACACAAAGCCCTGCAAGTGCCTCCCCATCAACACCACCTGAGCAGAGAGAACAAAAAAAATCACCCCAGGACAAAGACTTTGCAGCTTCTGTTGATCAACACTTGCAAAGAAACGATTCTGTGATCACAAGTGCCTCATTATCAACAGCATCAGCACCGGGGACTGCCTGAGCTTTCAAACACTGCAACAGTATTTAGCAAGTATGGGAGATCCCAGGAAAACCCCGGAAAGGGCGACTCCCAGGGTGCAGTGGGCTGTGTTCTTACACAGCACCTTCAGATTCAGCAAGGTCATCACAAGGGGACATAGTCCTCAGGGGAATGTGTCTGCACACCTCAAAACTCAGGCCTCAGATGTTCTACATCTCTTGCTGAACTGGGACCTCTGAGTAGGCAGAGCTTCATTCCTGTCCAGCCTGACATAAATGGGGGCATTTTGCTTTTATTTAATGGTACATCAGTCACTTACCAGCAACAGAACAAGCCAGAGAGGCTGTTTCACAGCCACACGTAGCTACTATTCCTGATATGTCCCCCTGGCAGAAAAGAACTTTGTCCCACCTTTGCTTGCTCCAGGCCATGCAGCAAAGCATGAGAAACCAGTCAGAGTATGAGAGAGCACCATGGTGTGCTGCATGGGGAGCCAGGGAGCCAGCAGTGGATTAAACAGTGGATTAAATAGCTGAGAAGAGCTGGACACTTAGATGAAGGGGTAGAGACAGTCTGGGAATGGATGGGCAGAGGTGGATGGGTGCAGACACTGCATGGGAACACAGGGATGCAGAGACAAGGTGCATGACAGCCATAGAATATCCTGAGTTGGAAGGGACCCACAAGGATCATTGAATTCTGATCCCTGGCCCTGCATGGGACAGCCCCAAGGATGAGATTGATCTGGTGGTAGATAGACAGGGCTAATTCTGCCATCCCATCATTTCAGCCCAGTGTTTACACTTGGGTTCTTGCCTCCTCCTGGCCCCAGCCATCTGCTGCTGAGCTGGCTCCCCCAAGATGATCACAGACCATCTCCTAAGTGTCCAGGATGGCTCCATCCACCTCCAGAAGACTCTGGCCTGTAGCCTGGCATTCCTTGGCTGTTGCCAAGTCCCAGCATCAGGAGTCTGTGCAGGTGAGTATGGAGCTGGGTGCTCAGTGAGAAGAGCAGGTGCCATGTGAAAGCCCCAGGAAGAGAAGCAGTTTTCCAGGACCTAGAGGGTGTGAAGGGTGGCTGCTGGAGTGCTCTCCCAGCATTCCCTCTGTGAGGTGTTAAACCACTTGAGCTTCTGGGCTGGAGGCCCCAGGAATCAAACCTCTCAGCTCAAAGTGGTGACTGCAACACATCTCCAGAGCTCCCCAGCATGAACATCATGCCCTTAGCACGTCCTGCTTCCACTCAGGCCCTTTGACCTCTCCCAAATACTCTTCTTCAGGGGAAGACACCCAGACAGCTCCATTTCTGCTCCAGCATGAAGTGAGGGGTCACTGTTCTGACGGGACCAAGGTAGTGGAGGTGTTCCAGGCTGCAGGAGCAAAATCACCTCCCTGCAGGGAACCAACCCATACCAAGCAGCCCTGGGCCCCACAAACCTGCTGTGGGCAGACTGGGGGCACTCTGCAGGTGATGCCAGTGGCTGCTCCTGCCTCAGAGTTCTTCAGCTCTCCTAGTGCCACTGACACAGTAGAACTCCCAACACCAACCCGTGAGCTTGGCTTAAGGAGGAGATCACAGGGTTTGTAAGATTAATGATGGACATATGGAGTCAGGAGCTGCCCAGGATCCCATGTCAAGCTTTCTTTGGTGGCCATGAGAACTGCTGGCCTGCTTTTTGAACAAATCACAATATGATTCCAGAAGCTGGGCTTTGCTAAAGTACCAAAATGCCCCCACGAGTGCTGATGATGCTCAAGTGTTCATTTGTCATTGTCCTTTTACGGCCAGGAAAGAAAACACCGACAGTGGAGAAAGAGACATCTCAAAGCTGTGCCTCCACGGGGCAGAGATGGGGCAGGGCAG